AAAAGTAAGTTTCAAAATTGTTCAGACATTTTGTTTCGGCATGTTCCAAATGAAAACGTTCCCCATTTTCTGGGTCGAAATGACTTTTTTTTTTTTGGCGCTGAAATTTAAGCTAATTACAGCCCCCACAAATTGATTCAAAATGGTGGCCATCGAAACAAACTTTTCAAACTGATCCAAATGAAATCTTTTGATGGACCCAAGCAATTCCTCCTCCCCCCGCCCGAGATTTTCAGTCCGCAAAAAATTTCGACTTTCTGTCCTGATGTGAGACAGGCAAATTTTTGCAAACCTTGAAAAATGCTGCACAACAGGAAAGCCATTTTCTGCTCATTTCTACCTCAAACTGAGCCAGACTACATAGAAGAGCAAGGAGGCCTAAGGTGACACCCTACTCTGTTTCAAGAGCTGCCACCCTTGCATGTCACAATACACTGGGCTCAGGAAGAGCAGCTGCCCCTGACTGCAATTCACCCTCATGCACAGGTGAATGGGAAGCTGGCAAACTTTGGCTCTCTCCCTTCCAGCGCACTGAGCTGGCGAACAGGGGGAAGTAGACTGCACCAGGAAGAGGGTCACGATTCAGTCCCTTCCTGGGGCACTGCAGCGCCGCACTGCCCATTACTCAGGGCAGACTGCAAAGTACCAGACTTAGCCCATGTTTGGTTCTGTCCAAGTAGATGGTTAATAGTAACAATAATGCGGTGGAGTCCACCACATTATTATTACTATTAACCAGAACGAATGTGTTCTTCATGCTGCGCTTTGGCCCATTAATGGCCTTTTTGGGATCCCATGAGTAGATACCTCTTAAAAAGGTAGAGGATCAAATTGTTAAGCGTATCATCCTAGGAGCTGTAAACATATCTTGCAAGCTAGCCTGTTTGCAAGTTGAACTGGAGCCAGCTGTAAGGTCCTTCTTAGACCTTTCAAGCAAAAATCACATTTCCAGGCAGTGAGGATGTGTAATAGACATCCAAGTGAGAAATGATGAGACACAACAAGAGCCATCGGAATGGGGGCTGTTGGTCACTTTCAGGGTCTCTGTATTTATTTTCAACATACATAGCCCGTTATTGAAAACAATGAATTCAGCCATTGACGAGACCGAGGGGGATGGAGAGATGTAGAAAAATGGGGTTACAATCCACCAAAAAAAAAAAGACAAACAGTTTGAAACTGAGTGTCATTTCCTTATTCCTGCTTTTTTTATTTATTTATTTGGTTATTTTCACTCACCACAGATGTCCTCCCTTGCTAATCTATCTGCTACCTGTTTATTCTGCTAACCCCTGGACCACTTCCCTGCTTTAATGACAATTGATGAAATTAAGGGCTGGATTCTGTGCCTTGTTCGGCACTTCAGCACAAAGCAAAGACAAAGATTTGGCTGTCCTTCTGTAGGCAAAAATCTCCAGGTGGTGCAGAACTAGCAAAGTGCACTCAGCAGCCTCTTCATCCCAGACCATGAGACATCCCCGGAGGAAAGGTGGCATGGGCAGAGGGGCTCTTTGGGGCAGGGATTGTCTACTACCCTGAGTTAGTACAGCACCTAGCACAATGGAGCCCCTGTTTTCAGACAGCCCTTAGGTGATACTGTAATAAACATGATCTCTGCACCCCATGCTCCACAGCTACTGGAGGGGACTGTTGGGCCAGGCAGACCCCAGGATTGGCGAGCGTAAAAGTAGCTTAAAACGAGTCCCTGTCCCAGTCCTGTCCTCAGTACCATTTGCCTGGCCTAGCAAATGGCCTTAGGTTACTTTTCTGATACTCACGGAGAGTTGGGGAAAAACCAGTCACAAGATGTGAAAAATGTAACTGATTCACAGATGATTATAATGGGGGGAAGCAAACAGGACATTTGTAACCGAAACTACTATAAGCAGGACTAAATCCCTAGCTCGGGGAAGGGAAAAGGAAAACAGACTCCTTGTTACTGTGTATAGGGGTAAACATCACTTATTTTGTGTAACCCAAGCAAATGCAGTGGATGAACTGTCCATGCTAAAGTACACAATACTGCGAGCTGAAGGATGCTTCTCCGCCTTTTAAGGGTGAGGCAAGCGGCGTCTTTAGTTTTTGCATTTGTAGGCTGGTATTGTTTGTTCAAGGTTTTCCCTTCTGCTCCTGCTCTGGAATTTTTATCTGCCTTTATCGCCTTTGCAGTGGTAAGTCAGGACTTCGGCTGATGTGTGTTAAGGTGACCAGAGGCTCACAAACACAGCGGCTTGCACGTTAAAAACTGTCACTTCATTATACATTGGGAGGAATAGAATCACAGATGCGTAGTGCTGGAAGGGACCTCAGGAGGTCATCTCATCCATCCCCCATGCTGAGAAAGGACCAGTAGACCTAGACCATCCTTGACTGGAGTTTGGCCACCGGTTCTTAAAAACCTCCAGTGATGGGGATTCCACAACCTCCCTCGAGAACCTGTTCCACCCCGACACTATCCTTACAGTTAGGAAGTTTTTCCTACTTTCCTGAATCCTTCCTCCCTCCCTGTTCTACTCTGGGCAGGACATGGTGAACAATGGTGTCAGCAGAGTCGCGGCACTAAGCAACAGCACCGGGGCTCAGAAGAGCTGGCTTGTATTTGCTGGCTCAGCCACCGTCTGACCTTGACCAGATTAGTTCACCTATCCGTGCTTCTGTTTCCCCTCTCACTGTTTGTCTATTCAGGCGGCAAGTTCTACAGGGCAGGGTCTGTTTCTTACTATGCATCTGTACGTTGCCTAGTGATCCAAGGCCTTTGGGTGCTACCGTAACACAAATAAATCACAAGGATATTGAGTCGTTATTATAAAGCCAACAGCTGCTATATTCCCACCCCTCCAATATACATCACTAAAAACCTGATAACTAACAGGAAAATCTGGTGGGTATTAGGTGCCAAACTCCCCTAAGCTGCTTTGAAAATCCCACCTATAATATCATTAAGATACAAGGAAAAAACAAGCTTATTGAAAATCTATGTCTCCCATTCTCTCTTCCTCCATCCTCCCTCACGCATGTGCCCACACACACACATTGTGCAAGAGAGAAATAAGACAGCAGTGATCTGTCAATCGTTATAGTAAACTGCAATTTCAGGGAGTCTGAGTCCTCTGCCTCCCCCACACCCCACTCCCAGCTGACATTGAGCATGCAGCGTGCAATCCTTCCGCCTGTTGTCCATACCGGACTGTCTCTTTGTGTTGTGGAAGCTCATTCAGCATTTGCCCATATGCCTCCCAAAAACTCAGCCTCTGTATGTAAAGCCACCAGTTTAGTGACAAAGGGAAGCCAGGTGCCAACTGGGGAGAGTGTTTGGATTCCACTCGGCGGCTTCAAAAGGGCGTGGGGGGAATAAATGGGTTCTTCTTATATCTCCGTGTACATCGTACACCCCAAAGGTCAGTGCACCCAAACAGTTCTACACTGTTGGGGCTAGGGCTGGGCCCATCGGATTCCCCTGGGGCATTGTCTGTGCATTGCCCCCACCCCACCCCCAGAGGTAAGTGGGTTTGGATGGTTCTCAGCTCTCGGGGGGGGATGGGACTGTTCTCCCCTTACTTCTGAGGGGCAGTAGCTATGTAACCCCCCCTCCCAAGGTGAGGGCATCTGGACTGCTCTCTGCAGGGGGGCAGGAGTAAGGGGAGCGGCGGGAGTCAGTCTCCCCTTAACCCCAGGGGCAGTAGCTATGCATATCTCCCCCCTCCCCGCGATGATTTTATCGGGACAGCTCTCTGCAAAGGGAAAGGGGGAATTTAGTCTCCCCTTTCAACCAGGAGCAGTAGCTGCGTATCCCCCCCCCCCCCCCGCAAGCCCCCCAAGGCGAGAGCATCTGGACAGCTCTGTGCGGTAGAGAAGGGGTGGGCTGTGGGCAGGGAGGGGAAGGGAGGAGGGATTTGTGGACAGCTCCCTGCAGATGGGGGCAGGGAAGGGCGGGAGGGATTTGGTCTCCCCTTATTTCCCAGGGGGAGTAACTGCGTCTATCCCCCTTCTCCAAGGTGAGCGCATCTGGAGAGCTCCCTACAGACAGGGAGAGGCGAGGAGGAGGCGGGGGGCTGGGGGGCTGGAATAATCGGTATAATGGGTGTGCTGAAAGCCACTGAATCAAACTGTAAACCCTGTCTATAGTGGAATCTATTTCAAGCCAAGGGGTGCTCCAGCACCCCCACACCTCTAGCTCCAGCACCTATGGGAGGGGGTTTGGACTCCCCTTACCGCCACAGGGGCTGTAGCTATGTACCCCCTCCCCCCCCAAGATAAGTGCATCTGGACAGTTGTCTGCATAGGGGGGAGGCAGAAAGGGGAGACAGAAAGGGAATTTGGTCTCCCCTTAACACCCCCCCACCCCGCGCCGCCACGGGGCAGTTGCTTTGTATATCCCCCACCCCGCAAGGCGAGCGCACCTGGACAGCTCCCTGCAATGGGGGCTGCGCGCCGGGAGGGGAGCGGGGGGGGGGGACGGGGTCTCCCCTTAGCCGCCTCAGCAGTAGCTGTGCACCCCCCTCTGCAAGCCCCCCACTCCGGAGCCAGACCCCCCTCCCCTCCTGCAAGCCCCGCACTCCGGAGCCAGACCCCCTCTCCTCCTGCAAGCCCCCCACTCCGGAGCCAGACCCCCTCCCCTCCTGCAAGCCCCCCACTCCGGAGCCAGACCCCCCCCCCCTCCTGCAAGCCCCCCACTCCGGAGCCAGACCCCCTCCCCTCCTGCAAGCCCCGCACTCCGGAGCCAGACCCCCTCTCCTCCTGCAAGCCCCGCACTCCGGAGCCAGACCCCCTCCCCTCCTGCAAGCCCCCCACTCCGGAGCCAGACCCCCTCCCCTCCTGCAAGCCCCCCACTCCGGAGTCAGACCCCCCCCCCCAGCTCCAGCGCTAGGAAATGGCTCTGCCGCAGTGGGCAGCAGCCGCAGCTCCCCGGCTCGGCTCGCAAGCTGGGCTCGGCCCCTGGCGCCGGGCTGGGGACCGGCCCCCGCCCCATCCCCGCGGCGGCGGCGGCCCCGGCCCGGTACCTGGTAGCTCAGGACGATGCCGTCCGGCTCGTTGCTCCCCGCGGGCATGGCTGGGGCAGGCGGCTCCGCCGCGCCGAGCTCCGCTGCGCCAGCTCCGCCCCCCCCCGCGGCTCGCCCGGCCCGGCCCGGCCCCCAGCGCCTGCGGGGCGGGCAGCTCCCCGGAGCCCAGCCACCGCCGGCCGCTGCCTCCCGCCCGGCTCCCGGCGCCCCGGCAGCCAATCCCGGCCCGGCGAGCGGCCGCGGGGGGGCGGGGTGCAGCGGGGGACAGAGGAGAGGTGGGGTTCGGGGGGGAGGGGAGCGCTGGGGGTGGCAGGGGGAGTGGAGAGATGGGGATGCAGGGGGAGGGGCACGGGGGGAGCGGAGAGGTGGGAGATGCAAGGGGGGACAGGTGGAGGGTGTGGGGGAGGGGAGAGGTGGGGTTTCAGGGGAGGGGAGGGGGGGTGGAGGGGGGGGGAGATGGGGTGGGGGGAGGGGGGGGGGAGGGGGGGGGAGGGGGGGGAGGTGGAGGGGGGGGGAGGGGAGAGGGGGGTGGGGGGGGGGGGGGGGGGGGGGGGGGGAGTGGGGGGGGGGGGGGGGGGGGGGAGGGGGGGAAGGGGAGGGGAGGGGAGGGGGGGGGGGGGGGGGGGGGGGGAGGGGGGGGGGGGGGGGGAGGGGGGGGGGGGGGGGGGGGGGGGGGGGGGGGGAGGAGGGGGGGGGGGGGGGGGGGGGGGGGGGGGGGGGGGGGGGGGGGGGGGGGGGGGAGAGGGGGGGGGGGGGGGGGGGGGGGGAGTGGGAGGAGGGGAGGGGAGGGGGGGGGGGGGGGGGGAGGGGGGTGGGGGGGGGGGGGGGGGGGGGGGGGAGATGGGGGGGGGGGGGGGGGGAGGGGAGGGGGGGAGGGGGGGGTGGGGGGGGGGGGGGGGAGGGGGGGGGGGGGGGGGGGGGGGGGGGGGGGGGGGGGGGGGGGGGGGGGGGGGGCGGGGGGGGGGGGGAGGGGGGGTGGGGGGGGGGGGGGGGGGGGGGGGGGGGGGGGGGGGGGGGGGGGGTGGGGGGGGGGGGGGGGGGGGGGGGGGGGGGGGGGGGGAGGGGGGGGGGGGGGGGGGGGGGGGGGGGGGGGGGGGGGGGGGGGGGGGGAGGGGGGGGGGGGGGGGGGGGGGGGGGGGGGGGGGGGGGGGGGGGGGGGGGGGGGGGGGGGGGGGGGGGGGGGGGGGGGGGGGGGGGGGGGGGGGGGGGGGGGGGGAGTGGGGGGGGGGGGGGGGAGGGGGGGGGGGGGGAGGGGGGGGGGGGGGGGAGGGGAGCGCTGGGGGTGGCAGGGGGAGTGGAGAGATGTGGATGTAGGGGAGGAGGCAGGGGGAGCGGAGAGGTGGGAGACGCAAGGGGAGGGGACAGGTGGGGATTATGGGGGAGGGGAGAGGTGGGGTATGGGGTGGGAGGCAGGGGGAGGGGAGCGCTGGGGGTTGCAGGGGGAGTGGAGAGATGGGGTTGCAGGGGAGGAGGCAGGGGGAGTGGAGAGGTGGGAGATGCAAGGGGAGGGGACAGGTGGGGTTTCAGGGGGAGGGGGTACAGGGGAGGGGAGTGCTGGAGGTGGCAGGGGGAGTGGAGAGATGGGGATGCAGGGGGAGAGGGCACGGGGGAGCGAAGAGGTGGAAGATGCAAGGGCAGGGGAGAGGTGGGGTTTCAGGGGGAGGGGTACAGGGAAGGGGAGAGATGAGGTTGCAGGGGGAGGGGGTACAGGGGAGATGAGAGGTGGGGGTTCAGGGGAAGGGGTACAGGGAAGGGGAGATGTGGGATTGTTGGGGAGGGGTACAAGGGGTTAGGATGTGGGTGTTGGGGATATAGGGGAGAGGGTATGGAGGAGGTGGGAGATGCAAGGGGAGGGGAAAAGAGGCAGTTATGGGGTAAAAGAGAGATGGGGCTGCAGGGGGCCAAAAGGGGGAGGGGAGAGGTGGGAATGCAAGGGGAGGGGGTACGGGGAGGAGAATGTGGGGGTTGCACAGGGAAGGGGGTACAAGGGGAGGGGATATGGGGGTTGGGGTAGAGGGGAGAGGGTATGATGGAGGCGGTACAGGGGAGGGGAGAGATGGGGGCTAAAGGGGGAGGGTGAAAAGGAGGAGAGAGTGGTGGGGATTGCTGGGGGAATGGGTACAAGGGGTGGGGATGTGGGTGTTGGGGATATAGGGAAGAGGGTATGGAGGAGGGGGAGGTTGCAGTGGACGGGAGTTCACATGGAAAGGAGAGGTGGGGTATAGTGATATAGGGAAGGAGTGGGATTGCAGGGGGAGGGAAGAAATGGCGGTTGCAGGGGGAGGGGTACAGGGGAGAGAAGAGGTGGGGTTGCCGGGGGAGGAGGTACAAGGGGAGAGGCTGAGGGGGCTGTGAATATAGGGGGGAGGGTATGGCGGAGGAATATGTGGGGGAGGGGGAGGTTGCAGGGGAAGGGAGAGGTGGGGTGGGGTGGGGTGTGGTGTTATGGGGATTGGTGGGAGTTGAGGGGAGAGGGGAGATGTGGGGTTGCTGGGGGAGGGGTAAAAGGGGAGGGATGTGGGTGTTGGGGATATAGGGGAGAGGGTATGGAGGAGGGGATAAGGGGGAGGTTGTAGGGGAGGAGAATACACGGGGGGAAGAGGTGGGGTATGGTGATATAGGGGAGGGATGCAGTTGCAGGGGGTGGGGAGGAGTGGGGGTTGCAGAGGGAAGGGTACAGGGGAGCGGGTACAAGGGGAGAGGATGTGAGGTTTGGGGATAAAGGGGAGAGAGTATGGGGGAGATGGTACAGGGGTAGGCTGAAAAGAGGTGGGAGAGAGAGTAGAGACAAAGGTACGGGGGAAGGGGGGGTAGAGGAGATAGAGAGGTTGCGGGGGGAGGGATAAGGAGGAGGGGGATGGGGAAGGGGCTAATGGAAATATAAGGAGGCAATGGCAAATCAAGGAGGAGAGATGGGTGGAGAGGGGGGAAATGGGGGAGGAGAAAGAAATCCTGTTCTGGGTCCGAGATGGACGAGCAGGGGGATGTGTTAGGACGGGACAGTCAGGACAGGAGCGCCCCAAAGCTCTCTGCTAAAATTTTGCCTCCAAACTGGAAGGAGAGCCGAGGCACTTTCCCTGCCTCTGATGGAGTCCATGGCTTTCCTCCTGCCCTCCCCCAAGCTCCCCGTAATGCTAAACCCTACCTGCCGGAGAGTATTTTATTCCTTTATTTATTGCCAAAGAGCAAATCCAAATGCTTTGCCTATGGAATGGACCAGATTGAACCAAAGGATGCAAATTTCCAGGTAACATTACCTGAGGGATGGAGATCAGGAGACACCCAGCCCTCCAAACTCCCCACACCTTCATATTGCATATCTGACACCTGTGTTATCGTCAGTCCACTCAGTGTATTTTTTCAGGAGCAAAGGATAAGCATTTCCAGCACCTTGCAGCTTAGGAGAAATGCATTTGCCCAGCAGCACTGCCTCCTTCTTCTGCTAAGGAATAATTTATTTGCCAAAAAGTTGCTTGTTTTGGGCAACTGAAACTATAGAATCATAGAATATTAGAGTTGGAAGGCACCTCAGGAGGTCATCTAGTCCAACCCCCTGCTCAAAGCAGGACCACTCCCCAATTTCTGTCCTAGATCCCTAAATGGCCCCCTCAAGGATTGAACTCATAACTCAGGGTTTAGCAGGCCAATGCACAAACCACTGAACTATCCTTCCCCGCAAATTCAGGTCAGATCTGGCAGATAAATGCCAGATGATAAAAAATGTGGTAAAAAATGACATAGAATTTCATAGAACTTCATAGAATATCAGGGTTGGAAGGGACCTCAGGAGGTCATCTAGTCCAACCCCCTGCTCAAAGCAGGACCAATCCCCAATTTTTGCCCCAGATCCCTAAATGGCCCCCTCAAGGATTGAACTCACAATCCTGGGTTTAGCAGGCCAATGCTCAAACCTCTTGTTGTGGCCTTTTATTTCAAAGTAACGTTTTGGTTTGCAGTTGATCTGGATTTCTTTTTAAAGAAAAAATTTAAAGGTTTAAAACCACCAGAAAAATGTAACTAAACGAAACCAACAACCAACCAAAAATAGTTTGGGTCAAACACAGTGTTTTGTTTGACCCAAAGCAAATAATTTGGTTGGTTGGTGTGTTTGTTGAGGAGAAAAACACAAAAATTTCAATTTCAGTGTGACCCAAAAATATTGTTTGTTTATATGTTTGTTTGTTTGTTTAAATTTTTCAGTTCAGCCAACAATCCCCTCCCCCCAAAAAACCAACAACTATTCACTCAGCTCTAATTGTAATTCAGATTCATACTCACAATTATTCATTTAGAATCTGCACCATCTCGTGTTAAAATTAATGGCCGTTGGCTCGAGCCTTGAGAAAAATCTAATGAAATATAGCTCCTCTGAATGCAGACATTGAGAGCAAAGTCTATTCTATGTAAACCACATGGCAACAAATTGTCTTTTTTAGAGATGTGAATCATAGAATGATAACTTATGAGTTTCTCTGATTCATGATGGTGTGGGGAATGGACCTATGCTCATGAAATCAAGAGAAAAACCATAAACTGATGTGTATGGGCCAGATGATTTTTATAATTTTGAAAACAGATTAATAGATTCTAAAGTCAGAAGGCACCACTTTGATCATAGAAACATTGAAATATAGGACTTGAAGTGACCTTGATAGGTCGCCTAGTCCAGTCCCCAGCACTGAGGCAGGACTTAAGTATTATCTAGCCCAGTGGTTCTTAAGCAGGGGTACACATACCCCTGAGGGTATGCAATGGTCTTCCAGGGGGTACAACAACTCATCTAGATCTTTGCCTCGTTTTACAACAGGCGACATAAAAAGCACGAGCGAAGTCAGTACAAACTAAAATTTCTTACACACAATGACTTGTTTATATTGCTCTATATACTATAGACTGAAATGTATGTACAATATTTATATTCCAATTTATTTTATAATTATACGGTAAAAATAAGAAAGGAAGCAATTTTTCAGTAATAGTGGGCTGTGACACTTTTGTATTTGTACGTCTGATTTTGTAAGCAAGTAGTTTTTTAAGTGAGGTGAAACTTGGGGTCTGCAAAACAAACCAGACTCCTGAAAGGGATACAGTAGTCTACTGATCAAGACCATCCCTGAAAGGTGTTTCTCTAACCTGTTCTTTAAAAAACCTTCAGTGAGGGAGATTCCACAACCTCCCTAGGCAATTTGTTCCAAGTGCTTAACTACCCTGACAGGAAGTTTTTCCTAATGTTTAACCTAAATCTCCCTTGCTGCAATTTAAGCCCATTGCTTCTTGTCCTATCCTCAGTGAAAAAGAACAATTTATCTGTCTCCTCTTTATAGCAACCTTTTTACTTGCTTGAAGACTGTTATCATGTCCCCTTCAGTCTTCTCTTCTCCAGACTAAACAAACCCAATTTTGAGAGTCTTTCCATGTAGGTCATGTTTCAGAGGAACAGCCGTGTTAGTCTGTATTCGCAAAAAGAAAAGGAGTACTTGTGGCACCTTAGAGACTAACCAATTTATTTGAGCATGAGCTTTCGTGAGCTACAGCTCACTTCATCAGATGCATACCGTGGAAACTGCAGCAGACTTTATATATACACAGAGAATATGAAACAATACCTCCTCCCACCCCACTGTCCTGCTGGTAATAGCTTATCTAAAGTGATCAACAGGTGGGCCATTTCCAGCACAAATCCAGGTTTTCTCACCCTCCACCCCCCCCCACAAATTCACTCTCCTGCTGGTGCTAGCCCATCCAAAGTGACAACTCTTTACATAATCAAGTCGGGCTATTTCCTGCATAGATCCAGGTTTTATCACATCCCCCCCACCCCCATACACACACAAACTCACTCTCCTGCTGGTAATAGCTCATCTAAACTGACCACTCTCCAAGTTTAAATCCAAGTTAAACCAGAGCATCGGGGGGGGGGGGTAGGAAAAAACAAGAGGAAACAGGCTACCTTGCATAATGACTTAGCCACTCCCAGTCTCTATTTAAGCCTAAATTAATAGTATCCAATTTGCAAATGAATTCCAATTCAGCAGTTTCTCGCTGGAGTCTGGATTTGAAGTTTTTTTGTTTTAAGATAGCGACCTTCATGTCTGTGATTGCGTGACCAGAGAGATTGAAGTGTTCTCCGACTGGTTTATTAATGTTATAATTCTTGACATCTGATTTGTGTCCATTTATTCTTTTACGTAGAGACTGTCCAGTTTGACCAATGTACATGGCAGAGGGGCATTGCTGGCACATGATGGCATATAGGTCATGTTTTCTAGCCATTTAATCATGATTTTTTTCTCTCCGCTGGACTTGCTCCAATGTGTCCACACTTTTCCTGAAGTGTGGTGCCCAGAATTGGACACAGTACTCCAGATGAAGCTGTTTCAGTGCTGAGTAGAGTGAAAGAATAACATCTCGTGTCTTGCTTACAACACTCCTGCTAATACATCGCAGAATGATGTTTGCTTTTTTGCAACAGTGTTACACGGTTGACTGTCGCTTAATTGGTGATCCACTGTAACCCCAGATCCTTTTCTGCCCTACTGCTTCCTATGTGTTTAACAAAAAGAAAAGGAGTACTTGTGGCACCTTAGAGACTAACCAATTTATTTGAGCATAAGCTTTCATGAGCAACAGCTCACTTCATCGGATGCATACTGTGGAAAATACAGCAGATGTTTTTATACACACAGACCATGAAAAAATGGGTGTTTATCACTACAAAAGGTTTTCTCTCTCCCCACCCCACTCTCCTGCTGGTAATAGCTTATCTAAAGTGATCACTCTCCTTACAATGTGTATGATAATCAAGGTGGGCCATTTCCAGCACAAATCCAGGGTTTAACAAGAGCGTCTGAGGAGGGGGGGGGAGGAATAAACAAGGGGAAATAGGTTACTTTTTAGAATGAATCAACCATTCCCAGTCTCTATTCAAGCCTAAATTAATTGTATCCAATTTGCAAATTAATTCCAATTCAGCAGTCTCTCGTTGGAGTCTGTTTTCGAAGTTTTTTTGTTGAAGGATAGTCACTTTGAGATCAGGTTTCAGAGGAACAGCCGTGTTAGTCTGTATTCGCAAAAAGAAAAGGAGTACTTGTGGCACCTTAGAGACTAACCAATTTATTTGAGCATGAGCTTTCGTGAGCCACAGCTCACTTCATCAGATGTGTACCGTGGAAACTGCAGCAGACTTTATATACACACAGAGAATATGAAACAATACCTCCTCCCACAGTGGGGTGGGAGGAGGTATTGTTTCATATTCTCTGTGTGTATATAAAGTCTGCTGCAGTTTCCACGGTACACATCTGATGAAGTGAGCTGTGGCTCACGAAAGCTCATGCTCAAATAAATTACTTTGAGATCAGAAATCGAGTGTCCAGAGAGATTGAAGTGTTCTCCGACTGGTTTATGAATGTTATAATTCTTCACATCTGATTTGTGTCCATTTATTCTTTTACGTAGAGACTGTCCAGTTTGCCCAATGTATGGAGTGGAAATCTATCAACTGCATGAAAAAACTTGTACAGATACAGACAGACATCATCTTCCTTTCCAAATGCAAACAGATGGACATCGTACCAAAAGGACTGAAGGTAAAAAATCCATTACAATCTACATACCACACAGACTATGCTGACAGCTTGTGCCACACGCTCTCAAAGAAACTGCGGAACCACCTGATCAACATCCTCTACAGCAAACAGGGAAAGATAAAGAATGAGCTCTCAAAACTGGATATTCTCATAACAAACCAACCTTCCACACAAACTTCCTCGTGGCTGGATTTTACTAAAACTAGACAAGCCATTTACAACACACACTTTGCTTCTCTACAAAAGAAAAAGGACACTAAACTTTCTAAACTACTACATGCCACAAGGGGCCACAGCAATGGTTCCCTCACCCCACCCAGCAATATTGTTAACCTATCCAACTATACTCTTAGCCCAGCAGAAGCAGCTGTCCTATCTCGGGGCCTCTCCTTCTGCCCCTCCACCCCCACGAACATGATACAGTTCTGTGGTGACCTAGAATCCTATTTTCGACGTCTCCGACTCAAGGAATATTTCCAACACACCTCTGAACAACATACTAATCCACAGAGACCTCCCTACCAACACTACAAAAAGGATTCTAGGTGGACTCCTCCTGAAGGTCGAGACAGCAGACTGGACTTCTACATAGAGTGCTTCTGCCGACGTGCACGGGCTGAAATTGTGGAAAAGCAGCATCACTTGCCCCACAACCTCAGCCGTGCAGAACACAATGCCATCCACAGCCTCAGAAACAACTCTGACATCATAATCAAAAAGGCTGACAAAGGAGGTGCTGTTGTCATCATGAATAGGTCGGAATATGAACAAGAGGCTGCTCGGCAGCTCTCCAACACCCCTTTCTACAAGCCATTACCCTCTGATCCCACTGAGAGTTACCAAAAGAAACTACAGCATTTGCTCAAGAAACTCCCTGAAAAAGCACAAGAACAAATCCACACAGACACACCTCTGGAATCCCGACCTGGGATATTCTATCTACTACCCAAGATCCATAAACCTGGAAATCCTGGGCTTCCCATCATCTCAGGCATTGGCACCCTGACAGCAGGATTGTCTGGCTATGTAGACTCCCTCCTCAGGCCCTACGCTACCGGCACTCCCAGCTACCTTCGAGACACCACTGACTTCCTGAGGAAACTACAATCCATCGGTGATCTTCCTGATAACACCATCCTGGCCACTATGGATGTAGACGCCCTCTACACCAACATTCCACACAAAGATGGACTACAAGCCGTCAAGAACACTATTCCCAATAATGTCACGGCTAACCTGGTGGCTGAACTTTGTGACTTTGTCCTTACCCATAACTATTTTACATTTGGGGACAATGTATACCTTCAAATCAGCAGCACTGCTATGGGTACCCGCATGGCCCCACAGTATGCCAACATTTTTATGGCTGACTTAGAACAACGCTTCCTCAGCTCTCGTCCCGTAACGCCCCTATTCTACTTGCACTATATTGATGACATCTTCATCATCTGGACCCATAGAAAAGAAGCCCTTGAGAAATTCCACCATGATTTCAACAATTTTTAGCCAATGAGAATGCAGAGGCAGTCCGTATCTGATTGTTACTGCAAAATGAGCTTTTGTCTACGCAAAACCAAGAGGGGAAATTTCCACTCTCAGTTATGGGCATAACACTCATTGACTGTAATGGATTTACCACAGATTGATACCAGTGTCACTAACAGAGAACAGACTTTGGCCCATATTTGGTCACCATAACTTTATAATGAGTCCCAATTGCCCTGGTTCAGTTAATTTGTGGCAAAGACTCATGGAATATATTTATCAATTTCCCCCCCTCAGAAACAAAAATAAAATCATAAACCAGTGTTTAAATATGAGTAATATACACCAGCTATTAGGCAGTTACATTAGTACTTAGCCTTTGGCCTCTGAATGCACACAAGGTGTACTATTATGTTTGTGTCGTTTAAGGCCTCTCATGTGTTTAAGGCCTCTCATGTTAATTTAAGGCCTAAATTAACAAACTCCCAGCTGATATCAGGAATAGGTCTGAGACAGTGCCATAATCAGGCATCATGCCTTTTCAGATGGATAGCAACTGTAGCAACCTGAAGGATTCATAGATTCTAAGACCAGACTTGGCCATTGTGATCATCTCTAGTCTGACCTCCTCCTCTATAACACAGGCCATAGATCTTCCCAAAAAGAATTCCTAGAGCATGTATATATAGGATATAATTCAGCCTACTGATTTGTATGAAAGCAGGAAAAAATGTTACTGTCATTAAAGGTTTGATCCTGCACTAGAAATCAATGGGTGGTTCTCCATGGACTTGAATGGGAGTCTAGGATCCACCCCTTAGGGAAGAAACTTAACTCAGATGGAATCTTAACAGATGCGATTATAATAAACAAAAAACAATTCCCCCCAACCCTGAGGGAATCTAGTCCCAGATGGAGCTCTGAGGAGCTACTTATTCTCCTTCTGTCTGCATTCTGCCACCCTCGCAAGCTTGGCAACCATCATTGGATTGAGGGGGACACAATTAAATACGTTTGATGGCCTTGGTCCATAGGGCCTGATTTAGCCAAGACCTTAAACACATGTGCTTTGCTGAACAGCGATGGGATTACCCAATCACTTGAGGGCTTGACTGAATCAGGGCCATATTCAGCAAGAGATCCTTGTTCATGTCACCAAAAAACACCAGATGTTTGAGACGTGACTGCAGGAGTGGACTGGCCCAGGATGTTTGAGGTGCTGAAAGCATCCTAACCTGTTTAGTAAATAGTTACATTATTGTCTGATCCAAGTGACCAGTGGCCATTTCAAGGCACATCTTGTGAACCAACAAGGATATAAACCAGGTTGGTCAAAAATTTTCCTTTGAATCTTTTTTTAATGACAGAAAAATGGGCGTTTTGAGCAAACGAAAAATGTTGCATAAAGTGTCTGCGCTTCTTGAACATTTTTGACTTTTTGTTGGCAAGCTGAGAAAACAAACATTTTCAGCCCCCAAAAAAGCCCAACTCTTTTGAGCCTTTTTCAGCTGAATTTTTTTTGTTTCTCATCAGAAAATTGGCAGAAAAATGAAAAACAAATTAAGTTTCACTTTGCTGCAGAAAAGTTGAAATTTTCCACTGCAAATTTCAATGTCAACTTTTTCTGGTTGATATTTTCTGTGTGTGTGTGTGGGGAGGGAAATAGCGTTTTCTGGCTAGCTTTAATATAAATTATATGCTCCGGGAAAGCCGAGAATCTCACCTTCCCACTAAGACAAAGACCTGAGAAATGTATCCACTAACAACATTCCCAGCTGGGTAGATGATTGCCAGGGAGCGGACATGCTCATTTCTGAGGGCAACAGTATCTATAATAAATTCCGTAGTAAAAATAAAACCTTACGGGGGCTATTGCACATCCTATGCAGCGTCTGAACTTGCGAACATCAGCCAACACATGCTTATTCAGAAGTGACACCGCATCCATTTCAGTGAGCTCAACACAGCCCACTAGACTGAGATGCCACCTACTCCCTCTGCAGTTCAGACAAACATGCTGAATTGAAGGTTATTTACCGAGCAAAGGAATTGTCATGCCAGTGAAAAGCACTAGATTAAAAAAAAAGTTTTTATGTCAGTGTGGACCATCTGCCTAGTTGGGGTGACTAATGGCTCCTTACAACATGACATTTAAAAATGCAACAAAGCATGATCAAAAAGTAAAGCTAGTTTTTATGGCACTTGGAAGGGGGGTTCGGCTGTGACTCAGTTAGGCAGGTGAGCATATGACTCACTATAAACCTGTGAGTAGTGCTGTTGAAGTCAATGAGGCTACTCACATGCTTAAAGTTAGGCACATGCTTAAGTAGCTTGCTGAATCAGAGACCCAGAAAGGAGAGAAATGTCCTGTTAGCACAGGGTCCAAAGATGCACTCAGTGCAATTACCCATGTGGTGCCACCCCTCGCCAGTGCAATGCAGCCCCACACAGACACACACACACACTCAGACACAACACAAATGCTCCAAGCATGCCTCACTATTAGAGTATCATATACTATTACTTTATGTAAAAGAGATTGTCGATCAGCAATACACCGAAGACATGTTTAGTTCCTGAGAAAATCCATCTGTACTTCATTATTATTTTTAATAAAATTTGCTACTCTGGCTTTCAAAGCAGAAAAGACCTCGCCTTTTCCTTCTGGCAAACTCTCAGCTTCCCGATGTCAGCTAGAACTTCATACCAACCCAAGGTATGGCCACTCTCCCTGTGTCGGCTTTCTGACACACTCCTTCCAGTAACTCAGCACTCGGTGAATATTCTCTGGACCACAAAGGAGCGTAGTTAAAAGCTGTCCTCTCGTTATGACCTGGAGTAGCCTAGCTGCAGAGTGAGTGAGTGTGTGTGTGTGTGTGTGCACCCGTGCACGCTTCAGGGTGGGGGTGTTGAAGCCATTTCTTCTGGTTGCGGTTATGAAGCGAACAGGAAGGGGGAAAATTATAAGACTTTTGTCCGAACGCTTATGAGTGAACACATGAGGCTTAGCAGAGTCCTAGGAACTGGAATATTCCTTGGCCTACAGCAAAATAATCAGTCTGATTCTCCTCTCACACAGCTGCGAAACATTAGTAACTCCACCGAAGTCAGAGGCCTCGCACCTGTATCAAGATACAATGTTGTGATGTACGTTAAGAAGTTGTTGGTCTCTGCGTGGAGGAAGCTCCTGTGACCAATGGCTCACACCCAAAAAAAACCGAAACTGTCATTAATCTCCCCTAAGAAAAGCCTGTGTATTGTGATACATTATAAATATGACTTGGCATTTGTATAAGTCACAGTGACACTACTGTCACCCATCACCGTATACACCCACCTTCATCCAGAATCTCCGCTGCATTCACATTTGGTGCCAGATGTCAGAGCCTTAATGGCACCTCAGATCAGGAGGAAAGGTTAGACGCTTTATGTCCAATGAATGTTCGATTTAATTAGCGCCCCTTATATTGGTGACTTAGAAGTCCAGCTCAGTATAAGTTCTTCCTTTCTTTTTCTTTTTCTATTTTTTTTTTGAAAGTTACAAGGGTGATTAAGAGGCTGGTTGCCACCAACACATGACAGAACGTGGCTTAGGAGAATTAACAAGCTCAGACATTGCTTTATTGGAGAGGCTACATTTCTGGGAGGAGAAGCAGATATTATTTTCTCTTTGCCAGCACAAAACCACAAAATTTTGCTGGAGAATGAACCCAGGCCTGGAACTATTGCAAGTTTTACCTCTGATTTCAGTAGGCCTAGGATCCAGGCCGATATGTAAATGATGCCAAATAACTTTAACCTGCTATTCTGCATACATATTGTGTCCCGGAACGATAGGGTAGGTGTGGGGTATTGAGGACTGTACTGGAATAGCAAGCTGTCACTTTACGAGTAGGCGAGGAAGGTTTTCCTGGTCTTGCTTTCAGCCAAAGGGGTCTACAGGGAAGTAGAGAGATGATCAGAGACAGTCAGCATCGAAAGAACCAGCCTAGAACAAGGCAGGGTGAGTTGTGCTGCTATGGCTTACTTTTAAGGGGTGTACCTCTTCCGCCCCACATATGTAACCTGACTTGGGAATGAAGCACGTTTCTCTGTGTTACCTCTACAACCATATTTCTGCCATCTCTTTAGAACCCCGTCTAAGTTTTGTCAGCGTTCCTTGGAATTCCTCCCCAGGTCTTAATATGGCATCAGAATAACAGACAACACCATTTACCAGGGAACAGCATACTCTTAAAGGGATAGCTTGCAATTCCAACACAGTCCTCAAGACACCACAGTAGGATTTTCAGCAGAGCTCAGGGTTGGCTTAACTCTGCTCCCACTGAAGTCAGGCTGGATCTAACTCAGCGTCCATTAAACCCACCCATGGACTTCAGTAGGGGCAGTGCTGGTTGCTACAAAACTCCCACCCATTTGAGTAGGGGCTTACGATACTGAGCAGTCGCTGGGAATGATACATCATTCCCAGCGACTGCATTTGCCTCCTGTTTTTCTGAGACTCCATTTCCCGGTGCAACTGAGGGGGGGCCTCTAGTGTCACTTATATTACAAAGTACCTTCCCCACATACGGAGGTGCAATACAGTCCATGTACTAAACAGGAGCACAAAAGAAGGACACTCTCTCCCTGGCCGGATTTGTGCGCATTGTTGTATTGCCAGCAGGCTGGGTGAACCCCTTGAGTGGATGATAACGTGGGACCATTGATGAAAGGACAAGTCTGGAGGCTGAACTTGAGATTTCTAAAGCTAGGAGGGGTGTTAGCCACGTTAAAATTAATTGGAGTAGAGTGGCTAAATTCCGACATCTGAAGGCACCTGTTTTCCAGCTGGCAATATGGCCTAGCACATAATACACTGGACTGGGACTCTGCAGACCTGAGTTTGATTCCTGGTTCTACTAATAGCCTGCTTTGGAGACCTTGGGAATGTCATTTACCCCCCTGTGCCTCAGTTTCCCAATCTGTAAAATAGAGATAATGATACTGATCTCCTCTGTAAATTGCTTTCAGACTGACTGATGATACACGCTAGGTAATATTATTATTAGAGCTAGGGAGTATTATATTTTTAGGGCATCATGAATTACTCCCTTATAGTAGATTAATTGCCACTCTTAGTAAAGGTAGGAGCAAAGTGAAGATCAAAAGCTTGCAAATAGAACTGATCCATTACAAGCTGTGGCTCGGGAGCGTTTGCTCGAAGTTACACAGGAAGTCAGAGCCGAGAATAAAGTCCAGGCCTTCAGAGTCTTAGTCTAGTGCTTCACCCACTTGTTTCCACCGCCTCCCATTGGAAAGCAGCTCTTCCCAAGGGACTAAATAGAAAAACAGAATAATGACATGCCTGTCCCATCTTTGAGCAGGAGGTATCTTCTGTTCGTATCACCATTTTCTGCTTAACACCTCTCTAAATACACAGAAGGCCCCGGGAAAAGCTTGTGAAGATCAAGACTGTAACAGGGTCCAAAAAAGAACTAGATAAGTTCATGGAGGATAGGTCCATCAATGGCTATTAGCCAAGATGGGCAGGGATGGTGTCCCTAGCCTCTGGGAATGGGCGACAGGGGATGGATCACTTGATGATTCCCTGTTCTGTTCATTCCTTCTGGGGCATCTGGCACTGGCCACTGTTGGAAGACAGGATACTGGGTTAGATGGACCTTTGGTCTGACTCAGTCTGGCTGTTCTTTTATTGTTATCACCACTAGACGGTGCAGAACCTTGCTCATGCTCATTAGGGGATCGATTAAACAGGTGCCAATGAGGTTTTAAGGAAGAGTGAGAACTGGAGTAGCTTTTGCCATTCGTGATAAAGAGACTATTTAACAGGGGCTTATCTGTGTTAACTTTGTTTTTCATCTAAGTTAGAGAGACAGCATGGTCTAGGGAATTGGGAACTAGCATGGGACTCAGGTGATCTCAGCTCTTTCTTAATTCTGCCGTTACCCAGCTCTGGGACCTCAGGCAAATCATACCAACTCTTTGTGCCTCTGTTCTTCCTCCTGCCTTGTCTATTTACGGTACGCTTTTCAAAGCAGAGACCGTTTCCTACTATGGGTTTGTCAAGCACCTGGCACAATTGGACCCTGATCTTGGTTGAGGCCGCTAGTCCTTATATGAGAACAAATAATAATTCTCTACTTCCCTGCCCAGCAGCTGCTTCCATGGATGTTCATTCATCTGGTTCTCTATGGCAAGATTTCGAGCTGAGTCAGAGGAAGAGTCGTGATATGAATAACTGTTCAGTGCCATGAGAAGGCACGGATCTTTTCCCCAGCCGTACTGCTGGGATAGTTTCTGCCCGAGTAAAATGCTTGGGATACCCAGCCATGGATAAGTCCACTTACCGCATCTGACCATGTACATATAAAAGCATGTGACCTAATAAAACCATAACCGCCTCTCTCAGAGCCTACAGAACAGAAGCTGCTTTAATACCCCTGAAACCCACCAATCAAAGGCCACCAAGCTGATGCATTAGCCAATTGGGTCACAGGAACAACATTTCAACGTTCAGTTTAACATCTGAGCCACAACTGCCTGAGCTAAAAGATCCAACTCAAAGCCAACCAAGTTCAACAAACTTTTTGTGTGATTCATTTCACGAAAGGGGGGGGGATTGCCGCCGCATGAAAAACCTGCAGATTTGGACGGAGCAAAACTATTTGGGAGGGGAGGGATAGCTCAGTGGTTTGAGCATTGGCCTGCTAAACCCAGGGGTATGAGTTCAATCCTTGAGGGGGCTATTTGGGATCTGGGGCAAAAATTGGAACTGGGTCCTGCTTTGAGCAGAGGGTTGGACTAGATGACCTCCTGAGGTCCCTTCCAGCCCTGATATGAATTCACAAATTTGGGTCAATTTTCACAAATGAGTTTGGTCAAATATCAAAAAAATCAGAACCGTTGAAACAGTTCATTTTTATTATTTTTTTTCCATTTTCAAAATGAAACATTTCGTCTTAGAGTGTCACTTCATTTTCACAAATTGCTATTTGAAAAAGATTTAAAAAATAAAAACTCAGAAATTAAATAAAATGTTTCATTCCATTCAAAACAAATTCTTTTTTGACTTTTTGAGCTTTGCTGGAAACATTGAAACTTTTTTATTTTGGGTCAACCCAAACAAAAAATTCTTTTCACCTTTCAGTTCAGCCACTGAGTCAAGATGTCACTTATTCCAACAACTCTACAGTAGGCTCATAAACAGAAAGCCATCCTTTGTAATCTGGGTTACGAGTACATGATGATACCAATCCTATTCGATATGAGCTATGAGATGCTTGTAATAGTCTCCTTGTGCTGTTTCCCCAGCTGCGAAAATGACTTGGCAAAAGTCACAGGTCTGTGTATGCAGAGTACCCTTGGAGTTCACAATCCCCGCTGTGACCAAGTGGACTGTCTTCTACTGCCCATCCTGGAGTCCAGGAAGTCTAGAAAATTATTAAAGGGAAAGAGTGATAACTGGGTTAACCAAGATAGGGGTATTATTTGTGTTTGGCTTTTAACTATGTTTATTTCCATGGGTCTTTAGTTCCCATGATCAATCTTGGCATCTTGTTTAAAAATAGGCACCGCTTTCAGGAAACTCTGCTTGACCAGTGGCTGGCCTCTGCTGCAGGGGCTATAAAAAGAGATCACACTGGTCCCCGGGGAATTCCCCTATGCAGGACCACCCTAGAGCTAACCTCTATGCCCCTATGCTGCCCCCATTGTTCCACAGCGTATCAGGTGTGCTGGGGGCCAAGGCAGGAGGAGGGGTGACTGTAGTGCTTAGCAATACAGCTGTCCTTAACACAGAGCAGCCCCAGGACTGCTCTAACTTACCCCACAGCCACGCCAACCCTTGGAGCAGGCAGAAGGTGCAAATGTGGTTTAAAGCCGGCTTTTGCCCCTGCCCCTCCTCTAAGGTTGCACCTCCTGAGAGACCCAGCGCAGAATCTATCCAGCTGTGTCTCGGGCCATAGAGTCTGATATGTCCTTCGCAGCAGCCCCTCTGTTCGCACTTCAATTCCTTCAGAAGCCCCTGGGTGATTCCCCCCCCCCATCTTATTTATTTATGGCACTTGAGTGTCTCAAGTTGCCCATCGCTTCCTCCTTGGAGACTCCAATCTCTGCCAAAGCCACAATGTGATCAAAGGGCTTTTGTGAAAGGTCAGTTGGAAAGCTCTGTAATTTCCTTTTTGCTGCTTTATTATTAAGTCCTGATAAGGCACATTTGGATTTTACAAGACACGTCCATTTTTTTCCTTCTTAAAAAAAAACAACAACCCTTGATTCAGTGCTGACCATCCTTAGCAGTTACTATTAATAGTGTAATTATAACGAGATCCCCGTTTTTGGAAAAGTGAAAAGAAATTACGCAAAAACATAAACTCCCCCCCAACAACAACAACCTGTATATTTCATCTATCTGTTGTGTCTTGCCATTATTATTTATTTGTACTCCCACTGCACCTACGAGCCCTACTCATGGACCAGGATCCTATTGCACGAGCCGCTGTACAAATACAGAACAAGGTGATGGTGCCTGCCTGCAAAGAGTTACAATCTGACAAGAGACATACGGACAGAAGGAGGAGCAAAAGGAAGCAATCAGACGGAGGGATTTAAAGGAGGCTAATGAGGTGCGGTCTTATTTTTCTACTATGGACTTGAACAGTGCCTTGCACAATGGAGCTGCGACAGCACGTGAGTACCCTAAGGTGGACTCCTCGATCTGTGCACCTCTGCCAGCATCCCCACATGGGCCAAAGAAAGGTGATCAGTGGTTAAGGACTGGATGGCTAAACACCCGTCAGAATGATTTAGCTTATCAGCAGGGGACAGTTAAAAAGAGAGACAGAGAGGAGATGGCTAGACCAGAGAGGCCTAGGAGAGATCTTGCCTCGCACACCATTTTTTAATTTTTCTACAAGATCTGCTCTAGGAAGTATTATGGGGAAGTTCTCTGGTCTGCATTATCCAGGAAGTCAGACTAGATGATCACAATGGTCCCTTCTGGCCTCTATGAATGGGAAAATGTTGCCTCTAACTTATTAGGGGTCTGTAACAGGGCTGCCCCTTTTAGGGCCCAGGGGGACTGGGGAGCAGCCAGCCCTGTTCTTGAGAAGAACACAGAAAGCATGTGCTGGGAATCATCTGACCCAGCTGACAGCATCAAGGGATTGGGTCTGATGAGTCCCAGCTCTGGGATATAAATGATGGTCCCGGCTCCGTGAGGGAGCCTGGGACCAGGAGAGGACCGGGAATCGTATTCTCTTGGGGCTCTAGCAGAGAACCGCGAGAGGGCAAGCCAATCCTGCAGACTACCCTAGACTGGGAAATATATAGGGCATTAAGCTGCTGGAGCCCAGCTTGAGAACAGGGCTAAGGCTATGTCTACACTTAGAATGCTATAGCAGCAGAGTCAGTGTAGACACTCACAAAAGCGACCGGAAGGGTTCTCCAGTCACTGCAGTTAACCCAGCCACCACGAGCAGTGGTAGCTAGAATTCTTCCATCAACCTAGCGCTGTCTATACCGGAGGTTAAGTTGTCTTAACTGTATCACTCAGGAGTGTGGATTTTTCACACCCCTGAGGAATGTAGCTGGGTCAATCTAGCTTTTTTGGTGTGGACCTGGCCTAGTATTTTGTGGCGGTCTGGTGTTCCATGTTTCTTTTTGAGTGTGTGTGCGCTGAAGGATAAACGGGGCCCTGAGGTAAGGGCTATAACTGGACGTGGCAGAGTGTTGTACCAGGCTGGTGATAGGGCGTCCAGGCCTTTGAAAAAGATTAGTGGGGATATTACACGCATTTGCAGCGTGCCCAACAGAGCAGTGGCCGAGCACTTACCCTAGATGGACCAAATCATCTATTTTTCAAAAGGCTTTGGATGAAGTCCTTTGGACGAGGCTGTGAAGGAAAATATCAATATGGGGTAAGCAGCAAAGCCTTGCCAATGAATTAAATATGGCTTAGTTATAAGCAACACGGAGTTAGAGTGCAAGGTTGGTCCCTCTGAGGTGCAGAAATGCATGGCAGGGTCCCTCAGTATTTGTTGGGGTTTGGACGATATTCTAGACTATTCAGAGAAGGAGGCGGACAGTAGCTGAGAGTGAAATGGCCCAGAGAAGGGCAATGAAGGTGATTAGACCCTCCAAGAGTACTTGCAAATGGGCTGTCGCCTAAATAGGGCTTGGTAAATTTATGAGCAAAGACAACATATATGGTGATGTGTTACAGCAAGGTTATCAGATCTCATGCTCAGGGCATCAAATGGCTGTCCCAAGGCTCAGGAAAGAATTGCTCCCCATGTGTACAGAGTTAAAAAACTGGCTAGGTACAGTATGGGGGGGGAGTGTTAATTTTTTTCTGGTGATGAATCCAGCACTTCCCCCTTGAAAACATGATGCTAGAGCGGATGGGCGAATGGTCAGATCCCGCAGGGCAGCGTTTCCCAAATTATGGGTCACGACCCCAAATGGGGTTGCGCCATCCGCAGACGGTGTCATGGATCCCTAGCATGTGGAGGACACCATTTTGCTCCACGCAGCATGTCCTCGCACCCAGTACTTAATTTGTAATGAAAGAGGTCCCGGGGCTCCAGCAATGAGGAGCTGGGGCTCAAGCAATTTTTTTACATTCATAACTGACGCAGGAAGCTCAGAGATGGCGGGGCTATGAACTGCCAAGCCAAGAGGTGCTGGGGCTCAGCCCTGGCAAGCCCTGGCACAAATTAAGCAGTGTGCTACAGTGGATGCTCAGCACCCACCAGCCAGAGCTGTTCAGGGGCATTGCCACCGATCAGCTGTTTGGCAGCACTGCCAATCAGCTGATCGGCGGCTCAGTAAGGGGATTGGGAGAGGGTGGAGAGCAGCAAGCAGGTGGGGGCCTCGAGGAGGAGGTGGAGCAGGAGTGGGAAGAGGCGGAGCGAGGGCGGGGTCTCGGGGAAGGGGGCAGAGCAGGGGCAGAAAGAGGCAGAGCAGGGGTGGGGCCTTGGGGGAATAGGTAGAGTCGGGGCAGGGCCTCGGGGCAGAGCAGGGGTGGAGCACCTCCGGGGAAAAGTAAAACTCGGTGTCTATAGTCCCGGAAGGAAAAAAATCATTAAAATTGGATCGTGCTGGCAAAAAGTTTGGGGAACCACTGCTGTATGGCAAATCCTACAATCTATTGGAGAAAGAGGATAGCCCCATGATTAGGGAGCTAGCCTGGGACTTGACAGACCTGGGTTTATGTCTTTGCTCTCCACAGACTTTGGGGCATGCCACTGAGCTTTTCTGTCCCCATCTGTAAGGTGGGACTGGTAATAATTCCCTCTTTCACCAGGCTGTGGTGGGGATAGCTATGCTGGAAACTGTTAGGTGCTCAGATACTACAGTAAAGGGAGCAATAAAAGTACCTAAGCAGTCTTTTTGTTCTATATTTGTACTGCACCTTGCACAATGGGGTTTGGTCCAGGGCTATAGTAATACAAATAGTAGATACTGTTATGTAACCATATACTGTACCTGCGTGGGTCCTCGTATTTCTATAGGAACTTTAATTTCTGCAGCTGGAAGGGAAGTACTTTCCATCTGTAAATCCTGTGGTGCTTCATAAAGATCCAAGAAACTGGGAAAGGAGCCTACATCCTCTGGATTTAGGGTAGCAAGCTCTGGAGGTATGGGAGGGGCTGTGGATTTTTCCTTGTCCGCTTTCAAGGCAGGAAACGTCGTATAATTTTTCAACAGCGTGTCACAAGCCGCCTTCTTGCCCACGTGCGGTTTGTGGTGGTTCTGGCTGGAAAGTGCTTTTGCGAAATCTGCCTTCCCCTTGGCGCCGCTTGACAAGCCGTTGTTTGCTGCACTCAGGGGGTACTTAATAGCAAAATGAGAAACCGTGTCTGCATCTTGTGGCTGGTCCCGAAGAACTGCAGCGTTGGGCCATGTAGGAACTGTTGGGTTGGAAAGGATAGAGCTGGGAACCTTTGGTAACTGCTGTTTGAAGAAGAGTCTCTCTGATTGTGCTAACCCCCCGTCGTCTGTGCACTGGATTGGCATCGAAATTGGCATGTCTTTAAAAGAAAACAGTGGGGCCACTTACTCATGGGACTGAAAGAAGGTTATTGCTTTTGTTTGCATCTCCCCCCAATGGTATCATTCTCCTTTTGTGAATCATAGCCCTGGCAGACAAACACTGGTGACTGGGCATTGTCTTCACAGCAGATATGGCTACCCCCTCATCTCAGTGGGCTTCTCCTGAGCAGGAAGGTAAAGGCAATTCCATCTACCATTCCTCACCTTGCTTAATTATGGGACGATGGTAAGTGCTCTATACCAGCACACAAATGCAAATGAGCCTGCCTGGTAGCTAACATCACAGGCGAAGATAGCCTTGAATCTTAGTAAATCCCTTCTGGCTTTGAATTCAGGAAAAATGACAAAACTCTACTAAGTGAATGTGGGTTTTTTTTCTTTTTTGCATCTTGTGGAACGAATGATGTCAGTGATGTCACAGGTTGATGCATTCTAGCAAACCAGGAAGTGTCAGAGAGGGAAGAAAAGAATGTTTAGACAGGTGCGTTCTTATACCACACTCATCACTGTAGTAATAAAAATAACAGCCTAGCCCTTTCATCAGCAGATCTCAAAGCAGTTTACAAAGGAGGACAAAATCACTAGCCTCTCTGCATCTCAGCTTGCCCACCAGTAAAATGGGGAAGGGGCTGTGCGCTAAGCCACATTGCTCTGAGTAGCTAAGCACCTTCCAGTATTGCATTAAGCAATCTGACTAACTTCTCTCATGGGTGTGTTCTCTCGTCTTCTCCCCAGAGGGAGAAGTGTGTGCGGTGCAGTGACTTGTTTTGGATATTTTTTTTATCTAATACATAGAGACACATATTGCTATATGCTTATGTTAGAGAAAGCATGGTCAAAGACATGTGCATTGCATTCTGTGGCGATGCTTATTTATTTGGTGTATTAGGGTAGCACCTGGGGGCCGTAGTCACAGACTAGGAACCCAGTGCTGGACAAACAAGGAACAAAAAGACAGATCCTGCCCCCAAAGAGCTTTCAACCTGGCTAGCGGGGTAATCCAGAAAGTATTTCTGATCTTCAATCCGCTCTCCTGGTAACTTTGCATCTTTTAAAAATGTATGATCATAAGCTCTCTGGTGCTCTGGCTTTGATTGAGCCCCTCTCTAATACCAAGAACAATGGATGGAATTTTGGTTACAAAACTGTTTGAAAAAGCCGGATTTTCACTTGGGGGAAGGCAGGGGGGGAAATTGCAAAAAGAGGAAATTTGCTCAGTTCTATTGCTAGTTTCCCTTGGTGAATTTTTTGCTTCATAAATGAATCTCGTAGGGCACGTCTACGCTAGAGGTATAATTTCCAAACCTCGGGTGGATAGACCCACGCTCGCTCGGACTGAGCAAGCACGCTACAAGTCGCGGCGCAGCTGCAGTGATACCATTGGCAGTCAAACGGGACAAATGCCCAGTGTGGCCAAAAAAAGTCAGGACGGCTGGGACAGGGCTTAAAAAAGGGACCGTCCCAGCCAAAACGAGACGTATGGTCATCCTATGTGGACGTATGGTCCATAGACTATTAGGGTTGGAAGAGACCTCAGGAGGTCATCTAGTCCAACCCCCTGCTCAAAGCAGGACCAACACCCACTAAATCATCCCAGCCAGGGCTTTGTCAAGCCGGGCCTTAAAAACCTCTAAGGAAGGAGATTCCACCACCTCCCTAGGGAACCCATTCCAGTGCTTCACCCCCCTCCTAGTGTTTCCTAATATCCAACCTAGACCTCCCCCACTGCCACTTGAGACCACCGCCAGCTCCAGAGTACGCATACTCTAAAAGACGCTGCATCTGCCATGAGTCCTCCGAAGAGTCCAAGCATGATTCTTACCTTGTCTGTCTGCTTGGTATTCAACATCCTTATTACGATGTATAGGGTAGTTCCCATCCAACACAGCATAAGCAACTGCCACAACAAAGTGTGCCCCCTCGGACCAGCTACATGCCGAATCCAATTCTAAGGTATGTGAATTCACGTTTGCCTGAGCTTCACACCTTCTTTAGGGGGCCAGAAATTGTAACCAACACAAACCGAAGCATGGAGTTAGCAGTGTCCCTTACCAGTCATTGGTTCCTTCTTCACAGTCAACTTCTGTAGCAGCTCAGCCTGCTTTGCACATAAATCTTGCAGGTGTGTGAATTCTTGGTAAAGCTGGAAAAACGCTTCTTCCATTTCTCCAGTGCCTGGCTAACGGAAACCAAAAACTAGTATAAAATGATTAGCCCTGAATGTTACTAAAGAAGAAACACTAGCAAGGAGCCAGGCAGGCACTGTGATGCACTTTTTTTTAGGAGGAGCTGTTGCAACTGATATGATTATTATTTATTTGAATTGCAACAGTGCCAACAGAGATCAGGACCCCATTATATTGGACACTGTATAAACACATAATAAGAAGCAGTTTCTTCCCCCAGTGCATTTGCAATCTACCAGGAAAAGACAAAGAGTGGGTGGGGGAAGAAAGGGGAAGTGATTTGCTCAATGTCACAAGGTCAGTGAGTGACAGCAGTGGGACTAGAATTGAGGTCTTCTGACTCTTAGCCCAGCAGTCTAGCCACTAGGCCATGCTGCTTCTCAGTAATTAAAAGTGGGAAGTTTGTAATTACCCTTACTAAAGACAAACCTGCCAGGCCTGAGTTTCCTCACTGATTTGAAGAGGGCGCAGAATAAAGCCGTCATTCAGATATGTTTAGGGCTGCTTCCTCTGTGGGGGGAAGGTTTGCTTTTGCATCACCCATGAACCATTACCATCAACCCGTGGGGAGTCATGAATTTCATCCCACCTGTGACCACTAATGCCGTGCAGTAGCATAGCAGCAAACTGACTCCAGGGAGACAGACATGAAAGGGGAAGATTGCCAAAGGCATATGTGGGAACTAGGAAATGATTTATTCTTTTCTTCAGCCGGAATTGGGACACAAACTGCCCTTTGTGCCTTTTGAAAATCTCCTCCTAAAATACCATGCAAGTGGAAATCTAGTTCATGGCCCACGGGTTACTCCATATCAAAACAGTTTTGCCACAAAGAAAAATATCTTTGTCTTATATTTAGCACATTCTTCCTTGCCTTACCTGCCATATTGTGGATTTGACTTTGCTATTTGCACCAATTACTGCGGGGCGGGGAAGAAGGAAAGGAAATAAAACCAATGCTCAGAGGAGTTTCCCTTCAATTTCAATTGTCGTTTGAAGGGCTCATGCATCTCCATTAGCATAACTACGCAAATCAGCTTTGCTTCTTGTCATAATTTCCAGTTTTTTTCAGCAGCTCAGTTCTGAAAGTTTAAACTCTAGCTCCATAATTAGGGGCTCGGTTAATCCGTCTGATGAAACATCCCCTGCCTGTTAGGAAGATAGGGATGATTCTTTATGGGCTATTGCTGCAATCATTAGCAAACAAGGAGCAATACGCACGGCACAAAGAGAACTTTTGACAAAACTGTAAAGGAAATTACAGTGCGGGATGTTTACATATCTGTCACACCATGAACACAGCTAGAAAAATATTTAGATCCTATTTTCTGCTGTCTGGTTCCCAGTGATTCCTTTCACTTTTACAGAATATACCAAAGCTATTTTGGGCTCTTCATTAATTTTACAAGCCTAAGATGCACTAGCCAGCGCCTGATCTAATGTCCCGGGGAATCAAAAGGAGCCTTTCCATTGATTTATTGTTATTTATGTGCACCTAGCAAGCCCAGTTATGGCCCAGGGTTGCATTATGCTGGGCATTGTATAATTATAAACACATAACAAAATACTTCAGTGAACATTGCATTGGACCATAGAAGCATAAGCCAATCTCAGATGTACCATGCTACAAAGCAGTCACTGTAGAAATCTTGTGGGAAGCAAACACCAGGAATGTGTTACAGAGCCTTAATACACATTTCATACAAGAGTTATAAATTAATATACCAGTGAATTATTAAAAAGTGCATGACTTGGGGGTTTAATTACTGAGTTTGCCTTCATTACATTGATTGCATTCAATAAATGCTTTAATAGTTTATTGCTATTTAATTTCCAACAATTACTGTAGTGAAGATGAGATCACTGTAGAGTTAGGAATTTTAATCTGATATGCAACCTGCCAGTTATTCACAGTTTAAGATCAAAGTAGTGATCCCAAAATGGTAAACCTTCCTGAACCTTGATTGTTTGGCTGACGACTTCTGCTTCAACCTTTTACTCTGGTTCTGAACCCAAAGGAGCATGCTCGTATGACTTCTGAGACTTCAGTAGAATGGCATTGGTACAACTCAGAGAAGCATGCGACCCTGAATCTTTCGCCTATCCCCCAGTATGTTAGCCAGGTGAAGCTCTGTTGCTTTCGATGTGAAGCTCATAACAATAAGTGGGGCTGTGGTGACCCCCCACACACACACTTTGCTCTTGTAGCTAGTTAAAAGATGTAGGCCACATAGCTGCAGGCTGCAATCATCAGCAATGGCTGCCTGGTTCTCTCCGGGGCTTGTACAATGCCCTTCCCTTAAACAGTCAAATCAAGCGAGTTACTCTATGGAGATGCAGTCACACTATACACCTGATGAGCACAAAGGACTAAATTTCCAGCGACAACTTACTCGTGCCGGGTCTCCTCCTTACATTGCCTCTCTGCTGTTGCGTGGCATTTGGGTCTGTGAGTTTCAACCGAAAAAATTCATGGGGAGCACTTTGGGGGCAGGGAATTTCCCTTCAATTTTGATGTTAATAGTGAAACCTCAGAACAGCGACAGAACAGGAAATAGAGTAGCCGTGAATTAAAGCTGCAGTCTGTGCAGACTGCAGAGCAAGTCTTCAAAATTAGGTTCTGCAGGATGCGTTGTATCCCTGAAGGATGACATCAGAGGGGACTGGTATTCAAGGTAGTGTTGCCCAGGGGTTAGCACAACTCTTCTGAGCCCCATACATATGGCTCTTCCACTAACTGCTGTGTGACCTCTGACAAGTTATTTCATCTGTCTCTGTTTCCCCTCCCACACTGTTTCTGTCTCCTCTGTTTATTGGGTGAGGTCTTTAAGAGAGGGGCTGTCTTTTTACTGGACGCTTGTGGGATGGTCACCCTCTTGGTCAACACACGGGGGCTGAACCTCCGAGCTAAAACTAGGGGTTTGAACCCCTCCAATCGTCTGTGGATTGGCACAGAGGGGAGAAACCTGTAACATGCTCTTATCGGTGGGTTACATTTGTACACTACCTAGCACAGGGTAGCTCATCCTTGGCCAAGGCCTTTAGGTGCCACGCTGATATGTGTAATAATATGATTTACTCTTTCATACAGAAAGACGTTCCTCGTGGTCAGGTCATCCTTGTCCATTGGCCCCTGTTCAATGCAAGATCCAGGCCAAAACTGTCCGCCTTTTTTTAAAACCTCTCCTTGGACTTATTCCTGATGATTTTAAGAACCTAGCGTGTGGCTAGTTGGTTTCTCACGCCTGCTGATGCAGCGTCTTTCTGCTCTCTCCCACCATCTCATCAGACCATTCCTGGGGTGTGGGTGCAAGGTTCCAATTCCTCAGCCCTTTCGCTGCAGAAATCAGAATTTCCTCAAGCAATCTAAAACAGATGGCTGTCCCAATAGGTTAGTGTTTCCTAGCACTGTGGTTTTTGTGTGTGATGTCCCAACGTAGCCGCTTGCATGCCACAGCTCCTTCTTGTGTTGCAAATATTAAAACTAGCCTTTGACAACACCTGCCATGGCAATTGCAAAAAAGTTCCATCCCTCTGATGGTGCCCTTTCAAAGTTTTGTCCCCAGCCACAAGCAGCTGTTCGCCACCACTGATCTCCTACCGTACTTCAGATGTCTTTTAGCTGGAGAGCAATCCCAGCAGTACTTCTGGATTTCTAGAAGCCACGGCTTTCTTGCAGTAATGGAAGCTGTAGTAATTGCATCCCCCTGGATCTGAGATTTGTGAAGCTACCACCATCTAGTGTTAAAAATAGGTCTTCATGAAAAGGAAACCATTGCATTGCATTCAAGTTGAAATATTGGGGCTGAATCTTCAGATGCTGTAAATCAGCCCCACTTAACATAGTTTCTTAGCTTTGGCGAAGACAGGCCACTTTACACCAGCTGAGGATTTGACGCTTGCTTTTAGCTGTAGATCAGAACAATCAGGATTGTATTAGGCACTCTGTAAAATACACGGGGTAAAACAATTCCTGCCCCCAAGAGTTTGTGTTAAAATTTAAGATAAAATGCAACAAGCTGGTGCAATAAGCATTCAGAGAGGATGAAAGAGGAAGGAAAGTAGTCACGCAGTTGCAAGGCCTAGCAGGTTTCGACTCAGGAAGTTTAAAGGTATAAACCCACTAAACAAGAATTATTAATGTTCTCGGTTAACCCTGTGATCAACTTGCCTAGCCACTATAAATTGACAGCTGACTGTTATGTTGAAAATGGGCCTTGGAAAGGGATCTGAAGGAAGACAGGGGCTTCAAAGATTAGTTTGGGGAAGGCATTCCAAGAAGGCGTAGATGTGCCAGAGAAAGAAGTGGAGAATTAGGTTCTTGTCCGGCCCATGTTGCACCAGAGCACATTGATCCACTGCAAAAGAAAACAAACATTTTCTGTGAATACTTAAATGCTTTTAGATAAATGGGAAACAACAACCCTGTGTCCTTAGCGATGAACCAGTGCCCTTAAGCAGTGAAGATCAAGGGGCTTTTTTTGTCTCTGCTGCAGTAAATATTTATGGGCAATTAAAACTTTGAAAGGGTTCAAATTCCTCCTAATTTCCATGCTAACTCTTCAGGCCAAATCCTGTGTTCCTTATTCAGGTCTTATTCCAGCAAAACTCTACCTGGAGTTGGACACTAGGGAGCAGATGGCCAGCTGATGTAAATTGCCAGAGCTCCATTGATTTCAATGGCGCTGTGACAATTTCCATCCACTCAGGCTCTGACCTTGGAGATGCGTTTTTCAAAAGCGCTCTCTGCGTTGGCTTAGCTCTGCTCCCAGTGGAAGGCAAATGATGGTAAAACTGCCATTGATTTCAACAGCAGCAGCGTCAGGCCAGCGTTAAGTGCTTTTGAAAATCTGGTGGCAACGTTGTCATTTGTCTGACTGGGGCTTGGTCCCTATACCAACCTAAACCTCAGTGTAGCTGTTCCGCGGCCCCTGCCAATCAGCTGTTTGGCAGCAGGTGGGAGGAGCTGTGGGGAGGGGGTGGAGCAGCGGTAGACAGAGTGAGGGCAGGGCACTCAAGGTTGGGGAGGGGCAGGGAGAGGTGGAGCAAGGGTGGGACCTTGGGGAAGGGGCGGGGCCTCAGGGCATAGCAGGGGTGGAGCACCCACCTAGAAAAATGACCGTCAGTACCTGTGGTCCAACCTGTTCTTAAAACCTCCAGTGATAGGGAGCCCCTGGGAAACCTATCCCAGAGCTTAAATGCTCTTAGAATTAGAAAGGTTTTCCTAATATCTGACCTTAATTTCCCTTGTTGCAGATTAAGTTCATTACTTCTTGTCCTACTTTCAGGGGATATGGAGAAGAACTGATTACAGTCCTCTCTGTAACAGCCATTAACAGATTTGAAGACAACACTCAGGTTCCCCCTCTGTCTTCTTTTCTCAAGATGAACCATGCCCAGTTTTTTTAACCTTTCATCACAGGTCAAGTTTTCTAAACCTTTTATCATTCTGTTGCTCTCCTTTGGACTCTCTCCGATTTGTCCACATCTTTCTATAGCAGTAGTTCTCAAACTTCTGTACTGGTGACCCCTTTCACATAGCAAGTCTCTGAGTGTGGCCCCCCCCCCTTTATAAATTGAAAACACTTTTCAATATATTTAACACGCTTATAAATGCTGGAGGCAAAGCGGGGTTCGGGGTGCAGGCTGACAGCTCACGACTCCACATGTAATAGCCTCGCAACCCCGCAGTTTGAGAACCCCTGTTCGATGGTGTGTGCATGTGTGTCTTGAGAGGCTAGCAGAGAATATTTGACCTCGACGGGTAAGGATGTCAGAGTGAGATTTTCTTTGCTTTAGATTGTAGTAACATTTTCAATGACTTGTGCCCGACAGTTGCTTTTCATTACCCCCCTGGGGGCCACAACCCACTAAATGAGAAATGCTGACTAGAGCAGCTCCATTGATTTCAATGCAGAATCCAAAGAACAGTTTACCAGGCGAACTAGGAAAGAGTGGAGGACAGACAGGGAGAAGCTGCCAAGGCAAATTTGCTACGACATCTCTCCATATCCCTCCACCAGCATCTTTACTGTTTACAGCCATCACACCTTCAGCTGCGAGCCTACCAGCTCTCACATAATAAATCGTTTTAGCTCAGGAAAGTAGTTGAATAGGAGACCTCCAGGGAAATACCTTGATGCTTCAAGGAGGAGTTGATAATTCAGCTGTGACATTCTTCCCTCTGAATTATTATGAAGATAAGACTGTCATATAGTGCTGTGGGGTGCTAGAGAAACGGAGGGGCCTGGGCCCTTGTGCTTTGGGATCCTCTGACCCTTTTCACGAGAGTCTGAATGTTAAACCTGGCACGTTGAAGGAGCACATTCCCTGACCTCCCTCAGCAGTACCCACGGGCAGTGACACTCCCTGAAGGCCCAGTCAGGAACTCTTAAGCACTAGGAAACTATAGGCACTCGGGACCCTGTAGCACCTTGCAGCAGCCCCCTCAGTAGGACCCCACCGGAGCCCCCGACACCAGGACCCAGCAGCAGTCCCAGCATTAGGAACCCCAGACATTAGGACCCTATAGCACCCTGCATCAAACCCAGAATCAGGAACCTCTAGGAGCCCCAGGCATTAGGGCCCCTATAGCACCTTGCACCAGCCCCAGCATTGGGACCCTATGGGAGCTACTGACACCAGAACCTCCAGGAGCATGTGGCAGCCCCAGCATTAGGAGCCTATAGGATCCCCGGAGCTTCTAGCACCCTGCAGCAGCCAGCCCCCAGCATTAGGAGCTTATAGGAAGGAGCCTCAGGTCCCAGGACCCTATAGCAATCTGCCACACAGCCCCAGTATTAGGAGCCTAAAGGAGCCCCTGGACCCTATAGCACCCTGCAGCAGCCGGGAGCATTAGGAACCTGTAGGAGCCCCTACACCCTGCAGCATCCGAGGCTTTCGGAGCCTATAGGCGCCGGGATCTTATAGCGCCCTGCAGCAGCCCCGGCAGTAGGAGCCTGACACACGGCAGGCGCTAGGACCCCGCGGCGGCCGGCAGGGCGGAGACCGGCGGCGCTAGGACCCCGCGGCGGCCGGGATACACCTGTGCCCGGCGGCGGCGGCGTTTCCCCGCCGCCCTCCCCGGAGCCCGCGCCCGGGCAGGTGAAGGGCTTGGCCCCGCCCCCGAGCCGCGGCCGGGCCACCTGACGTGTCCCGGCTGCTGCAGCCGCGTCCCGGGGCTCGGAACCTCCCCACCCAGGTGAGTCCGGTTCCTGGGGGGTCTCCGGTGGGGGCGGGATCCCCCATGGGTGGGGGGGTCGGCTCCCTGGCCGGGGGGGCTCCCTGGGGGAAAGGTCTCTGGTGGGGGTGGGATCCCCCATGGGTGGGGGGGTCGGGTGTTGGATGGGATCCCCCATGGGTGGGGGGGTCGGCTCCCTGGCCGGGGGGGCTCGGGTGTTGGATGGGTGGGGGGGTCGGCTCCCTGGGGGAAAGGTCTCTGGTGGGGGTGGGATCCCCCATGGGTGCGGGGGTCGGCTCCCTGGAGGGGGGGGTCTCGGGTGGGGGGTGTTGGAGGGGGGATGGTATCCCCTATGGGTGGGGGTGTCGGCTCCCTGGAGGGGGGGGTCTCGGGTGGGGGGGGGGTGTTGGAGGGGGGATGGTATCCCCTATGGGTGGGGGTGTCGGCTCCTTGGAGGAAAGGGGCGGGGGTGTTTCTGAGGGGCGGTATCCCCCTGCTGTGGGGGTGTCAGTGCTCTAGGGGGGGCTCTGGCTGGGGTGGGGGGCGCTGGAGGGGCTTGTTGCGAGAGTGGGTAGGGATCTGGGTGGAAGTATCCCCCTGGCTGTGGAGTGTGGTACCCCCCCCCCCCAACTAGGGATGGGTGTGTATCCCTGGAGGAAAGGGGGGGCGCTCTGGCTGCGGTGGGGGGGCTGGAGGGACTTGCTGGGGGCTCTGTATGGTGGTAGCCCACTGGCTGTGGGGAGCCATATCCTCCCAGCTAGAGATTAGGGGTGGCTCTTGAAGAAGGGGGTTGCTGGGAGGAGGGAGACCGGCAGGTCCCTGGCTGGGGTAGAGAGTAATGAAGATTTTGCTGAGGGACAGACAGGGCTTGGGGTGATGTCCCCTTGTTTGTGGGGTGTGGTATCCCCCTAGCTATGGGTGGAGGTGAATCACTGGAGGGAAGGGAGGGAGGTGTTGGGGGGGCAAATAGGTTTGCGGCAGGAATGAGCACCTCCGTTGGGGACAGATCTGTGGCTGGGGGAGCAGATGGCTGTGGCTGGGGTAGAGGGCACTGGAGGGGCTCTCTTGGGAGCAGACAGGGCTCTGGGTGGAGGTATTCTCTTGGTTGAGCGGAAGGGTTTCCCCCTTCAGTTAGGGGTGGCTATGATACCCTGGAGAGAAGAGGGGCATTGGGGGGGCAGCAAGTCTCACGTTGGTGGCAGAGGGGGGTTTGGCTCTGGGAAGGATTGGGGACAGGAAAGTCTCTGGCTGGACGGGGTGTTGTGCGTACCTCTGATTGTCCTGTATGATGAATTTGGTTCCATATCCCAGTAGAAGTTGCGAGCAGAAGAGGGCCAAGCGAGGTAGGGGCCGCACTGAGTAGTGTGCAGTGAGGCTAGACCTCCCTATTCCGGCGGGTCAAGGACTCTCTTCATGGGGGGGCTTTAGGCTGCTTCTCCCCAGCCTGGCCTACTTTTCTCCCTGAACATTCAGTTTCTGCCAACAGCTTCTCCCAGGTGGAGCCTCTGGAGGAGTGTGCTGGGTTCCCATGACTGCACCCTCCCTGCTCCTAACCAGGGTGCTGTTGGTGCCCCAGGGGATGTGGATGTGCATTTGGAGCCGGGAGCTGGAATGGCACCAAGCACACTTTTGAATGCTGGCTGGATTTGGGGAGTACTCAGTGCTAAAGTCTGACGTATCATTATACTCCTGATGTTGCCAACCTCATATTAAAAAATCACGATTGGCTTAAAAATCATGAGATTTTTTTAATTAAACAATATTTCTTGGGTTCTTTTATTTGGTTTCTGAGCTCTTCGGGTGCACTCTGGTTACCTTCCCAGGCTTTCTCTTCAAGTTGGAGGGCTATTTTTTAATTCCTTTCTATTATTTTAATGAAAACTGAGGTTTCTTCACACAACCACATGACTCCAGGTGCTGCGCGCTTTAAGAATAACACTAAATATTGTTGGGTTTCAGAGCAGCAGCCGTGTTAGTCTGTTAGTCTGGAGCCACAAGTCCTCCTTTTCTTTTTACTAAATGTTGTGACACTTGCAATATAATCATGAGGTGTAGCAATGCAGAACTCACAATATATGAAATGTTTAGAGTATCTGTAGAATAACAAAATAACTATTGTATGCAATAGTCCCACAAGCTCATCTTTGTTTATCTGCTTACAATTATAGTTAGAGCATGCAAAAGGGGCAGAATAGACTTGATGTAAAGGGGGTAGGCTAACAAACTAATTACTAGATAACTGTACCTGACTGTGTTGTACAGCGAGGGACAAACCTAGCTTTTAAAGTCACAGGGGAAAGGCTTGGTACCCTCCTAAAAGTAGCCAAGTACATTGTGGTTCTGCAATCAATCCTTGAGCTGGTGTGAGCGTCATGGCAGTTATGAATGACCCCAGTCTAGGTCTGCCGAGTTTCTTTGTGAAGTTTCTTGAACGCTGTCTTCTAAAGGGGCACAGAATAAGCTTGTCCATGCCTAGACTTGGAAAGCTAGAAAGTACAGCTATGATCAGCTAGTCTGCCTTTGAACGTCAGCCAGTGATTTCTGCCGTGGAGGAAATTATTCTTTGCCTATTAATGTAAGTGACTGCTATTGAGCCCAATAATTTGTGATTGAACTTGAGCATATATTTAGACCAACACCCAGTCTTGATTTGTAAAGACTCCAAATGATGACTAATTTGTTATTTCCCTTAATAACTGTCCCAGTGGCTAATTAACCCTAGCTATTACATGTTGCCTCTCACCCAGGCATCTTCAGCTCTAGTTTTTTTACATCAACATTCAGTGCAAGATCAGTTTTTCTGCTGCAAATGGGCACCTGGATCTGTACTCACATAGTCTTTGGCCTGTCATATCCATCCAGGGCATGACCGCTTCATGGCTCTCTAGGCCAATATCACACCCTCATCAGGAAGTTAAATGAAACCCTGTATTAGTGCAATGTAAGGGGGAAGACTTTAAAACGCGCACACATTCAGGAAATCCATAATGAAGTGTCAAATGCAGACTGGGTGGAAGCAGTTGCAATTTAGTTCTGAGTTCAAACAAAGTTGCACCGGCTTACACCTAGCTTGAAGTTGGTTGAAGATTCCTAGAGCTTGATTTTGGTCTTCACGGCAGTGGCCAACAGATGTTTTTAGTTCCTTGACAGGATTTTTTTGTTTGTTTTAGTCCTCTCTTCCTAGTCCTCCGTGATTACTAACAACACTGTACTGTCAGAAGACTTCAAATTCCTAATCTTGGTGGAAGTTATCAGTTTAGTCTTTTGTGTTGCTATCCTTTACTGACCTTCTAATTAATTTTACAGTATTGTTAGTTTTTTTTGTCCTGAATCAAAATGGTGATACCAATACAATAGTAGTAATATATTTATTCTTAGTCTTTCTGATTGTGTTTTTATTCAGCACCAAGCATGCTATCAGCACTTGAATAATAAATAATGCACCGTGGGCCTTTCCAGGTACTTGTTTCCCATCAAATACAAAGCCCAATGGAAACTCTGCTGCTGAGTTAAATCTACGTTAATTTAGCTTGTGAGCATAATGGGAAGCGTGTGGGGAGAAAGTCTTTCTCTTGAAAAACTATGTGGCTTTTATATCACTCCCTGTGTGTAGCCAAATCCAGGCTAATCTGATGTCACTTTCTTTTATGCAACAATGTGTGGTTAGTGAGTTAAACCAAAGGACGCTTGAACACCTGAGCTGAGGAATGTGACCTTTCCTCAGGGAGACTGAGTGGAATAAGAGTTACATACAAAACTGCTGTCCAGGAAAAGAACTGAGAGGAGATGGCCTATAGAATAGGGCAGGGTACAAAGGAAAGTGATGCTGCTAAGTAAAGGTGTAATGGTGTTCAGGATGAGATGCAATGGCAGATTTGCTTTCTAGGGGCTAGTATTTGTGTCCTTGATGAGAGGCATCCCGTGCACCTGTCCAATCTCAGTTACCTATATGGATTGTCTAGTCTGCTTCCTGCAGTAACTGGAAGTGCTTGTGGATGGCTAGTACATCCCCGAGCCTTTTCAACCTGCCTTGGTGTCATTAATGGAACTCAGTGTTTTCTCCAGTGCTTTGGAATTGCCAGAATGAAAGACTCTTGTTTGATCTATGGGAATTCCATTGAAAAGCATCTAGACATACGGAATGGAAATACTTGAAATTAGCAACTGATGATCATGGCTTAGTTGGACTGAATGACCAATATCTGCAGGTCTCTAGTTTTCCTTTAAAAAATTATATATAATTAAAAACTACAGTTCAACCCTTTGTGGTTGTGTGAAGCCTTCCAAATGTAACCCCAATACAGTGTGGGTTTTTCCCCCCCATCATCTACGTTCAAATAACTCCAGTGCGTCTGCTTCTGTTCATAGCACCGTATTCAATAAAGCACTTCAGCACATGCTTAGCTTTAAGCACACGTGTAATCCAATCCCTGCTCAGCAAAACACTTAAATCCCCATTGACTTCCGTGGGATTTAAGCATGTGCTTAACATTACAAACATGCTCAAGTGTCCTGTTCAATAGAGATTGAATTATACTCCTGTGCTTTGCTGAATCGGGGCCAGAGAGAGAGGATGGTGAAAGACTCACCTAGAACTCAGCTGACTTTTGGGGTCTGTTCTTGGCATGGCACATGGCTAATAAAACTTCCTTTTCTTAAGGGTTGTTGTGAGTGGATCGACCTTTGAGCTCAGATGCTGCAGTGGCAAATGCTCTAGGAAAGCCAATACATGAGAATAAACAACTTTCTCAAGCTGTGGGAGAGTGAAATTGAAACTAGTCCTTCTTTGACATCAGCCTCCAGCTAGTAGATGGGAAAACTTATTTTTGAGCCCTCTAATGCATTTGGTAACAATACACCATGGAAAATGGGAAAATCTCTTGGGTCTAAACAACTCTGCCCAGTCTTGGCTTATCTAAAGAACCTCAAGGGGTAGGAAAGAAGGATCTCCTGTACTTAGTAATACAAAACCTGTTCCAGCTCAACTTAGGAGAGAGGCAAAATTAACTCACACAGGAGTA